TTCTGCTGTTTCACTTTATCGCCCCTCTTTTTTTTTTTTTTTTTTTTTTTCTGACTGGGTTTTGTTGTTATTCCTAACCTCTAGGAGTGTGGAAACTGGAAGTTTGGACTTAGAGCAAGAGGTTGACCCGCTCAACGTGGACCACTTCTCTTGCACCCCTCTGGTGAGGATGTTGTTTCCAAGTTCCCTCAGGGCAATAAGCACTGGGAATGGATACTTCAAAGGAGTGATCCTTTGAGGAAAGTGGTGAAATACCAGGGTAAGCCAAGGCCTGAGGACTGGCTACCTGAGGAGAGCCTCACCTCTACTTTCTCTACTTAGATGTGGGCTTGTGCTCTGGGACACTTAGAAGCTGCTGTGCTCCTTTTCTGTTGGAACCGACAAGCGCTGAGCATTCCTGACTCTCTGGGCCGTCTACCCCTATCCGTGGCTCACTCTCGGGGTCATGTGCGCCTTGCCCGCTGCCTTGAGGAACTGCAGAGGCAGGAGCCTTCAGTCGAGCACCCACTTGCTCTATCTCCGCCCTCCTCTAGCCCAGACACTGGTGAGAGCTGCCTTTGGGTCTCTTCAGACCAAAACACGCCCAGAGCAAAGCAAAGGGTGGGAGACGAGAGAGAAAGGGATGGGTAACAGGACCAAGAACAGGCAGGGAAAGTGCTGGAGAGCTGCTTGTCCACAGGACCTGGGTTCTGTTCCCAGCACCCACAGGGTATCTCACAACAGACCTATATTTGGACAAACAACTCATCCACATGAAATAGCAATGAGTCTCTAAAAAGGGCAGAGGAGCCGAGACAGATGAGGGAAGAGATGAGGAGAGCCTGCAGCTCCCCCTCTCCTTACCCATTCCGCCCTCCTCTCAGGTCTGAGCAGCGTCTCTTCACCCTCGGAGTTGTCAGATGGCACCTTCTCTGTCACATCGGCCTACTCAAGTGCCCCGGATGGCAGTCCCCCCCCTGCTCCCCTGCTGGCCTCTGAAATTACTATGGAGATGATCCCAGGCCAGCTTTCTCCTGGTGCCCCAGAGACACCCTTACTCCTCATGGACTATGAAGCCACGAGCTCCAAAGAGTCTGTTCCCTCCCTTTCTGGTCCCCCACTAGCCCAGAAGGATGGGGCTCCTCCAGAGGATGCTGACAGCCCACCAGCTGTGGATGTGATCCCGGTACTATTCATTGGTGGGGTTGGGCTCATAAAGGCTAGGAATTGAGTGAGGTGCAGAGGTGGGATTGTACAGATTCCCATGAGGCAGAATCAAGACCATTTACTATTTGGTATAGGACCCCTTTGCTCAGCTTCTTCCAGACTTTGAGTACTCAGCATTCATGAGGTGGGAGATTAAGAATTCTGGGGAGTATCTTCACTTAACTGCTGCAATCACCTGTCGACCCATGAAGGGAAAGGTTCTTTCTGTTTTGTTTTTCAAGACAGTGTCTCACTATGTAGCCTTGGCTGTCCAGGTACTCACCCTGTAGACCAGGCTGGCCTCAAACCTAGAGATCTGCCTGCCTCTGCATCCGAGTGCTGGGATTAAAGGTGTGTGCTAGGACCTGTGGATATACTGATTTTAGAAAGGTGGAGAATAAGCCGAGTTGGTGGCACAAGCCTTTAATCCCAGCAGCACTCGGGATGAGTTCGAAGCCAGCCTGGTCTACAGAGCGAGTTACAGGACAGCCTCCAAAACAATACAGAGAAACCCTGTCTCGAAAAACAAAAACAGCAACAACAAAAAGAAAGAAAGAAAGGTGGAGAATAATTACTTGTATGGTTTAAGTACAAAAAAAAAAAAAAAAACAACCTCCATCTCAGGAGGCAGGGAAAAGAGGATCTCTGTGAGTTCCAGGACAGCCAGAACTACATAGTGATACAATGTCTCAAAACAAAACAAAAAAAAAACAACCCCCGCCAAACCTCTGCAAAGGCAGCATAATGGAGTATGGCCAAGTTGGAAGTACTATATGCCCATAGCTATTCACAACAGTGTTGTGTGGTAAGCCCTAGGCTGGTTCTTAAGACCTGAAGCAGGTTGAATTATAAGCTCGGGCTACACCTGTGGAGATGTATGTTGGTCAGGTGGCATGGAACAGATCCAGGAGGGACAGTGGGCAATAAGGAAGGGTACTAAGATTTTTATTCTTCACGTCTCCTGTTCTCCATAACTTAACAGTATTTAGGACTGTGTCCCTCAGAGGGGATCAATAAGAAAGAATGAACGAGCAATTTTAGTTCAGAATTAGTGAGCAGAAAAGCAGTGGTATCTGGAAATGGGGGGGGGGGGCACTTAAGGCTACATCTTAGGCTGTGCTGGAAAAAAGTAGTTAGGGCCCCAGAAAGTTCATACATCTCCCTTCATCCAGGTGGACATGATCTCACTAGCCAAGCAGATCATCGAAGCCACACCAGAGCGAATTAAACAAGAGGACTTCTCTGGGTTACCTGAAGCTGCAGCCTCACCGAGGGAGCAGACAGGCACCGTGGGGCTCAGTGAGACCATGTCCTGGCTAGCCAGTTACCTGGAGAATGTGGACCATTTCCCCAGCTCAGCCCCTACTAGGTGACCAGCTCAGAACAAAGCCTCCAGATTCTTTTTCAGAGAAAGATGGGAGGGAGGAAGTGGGCTTGCTGAGGCCCTGGGTGTCTGCGAAGGGACCTGAGCTGGGTGATGATCTCCGGAGCCACTCTTTTCAGACTTATTGCTGAGCGTGGCCCTCAATCGCCATCTCTAGCTGAGCTAAGAGTGATTTAGGATGCTCCATGGTCCTCTTCCCATCCCCCACAGTGAGCTGTCCTTTGAGCGGGGCCGCCTAGCTATCCCTCCAGCGCCTTCCTGGGCAGAGTTCCTGTCTGCTTCTACCAGTGGCAAGATGGAAAGTGACTTTGCCCTGCTGACACTCTCAGATCATGAGCAGCGGGAACTGTACGAGGCAGCACGAGTCATCCAGACAGCCTTCCGAAAGTACAAGGTCAGAGAGCCCAGGGTCTCAGGGTAAATTAGCCATCCGGAGGCCTTCCATGGGACTAAGAAAGAACCAAGGGGGGCAGCAGTTGCCACCAAGCCTGACAACCTAACCTTGATCCCTGGAATTCATAGTAGAACTGATTCCCTCAAGTTGTCCTCGGATGTCCACATACAGACCTACCCATATATACACACAAAATAAGTAAATGTAAAAAACAAAAATTTTAAAGGAGGGGACTAGGTGGGCAGCCAGATGCTGAGATGAGGCCTCATTTTCTTTCCGTAGGGCCGGAGGCTGAAGGAGCAGCAGGAGGTAGCCGCAGCTGTGATCCAGCGGTGTTATCGAAAGTACAAGCAGGTTAGAGTCTTTTCTCAAAGGTATACCAACACACACACACCCAATATAACCAAGTCCCTGTGCTGAGAGCCCTAACTTCCCCTCTCTCTCCACAAGCTGACCTGGATTGCACTTAAGGTATTAGGCATGAGATCTGGGTGTGAGTGGGGGTTAGAAAAAGGGATCTGCATCAACCTAACTTAGGGTGACCTTCAGGGGTTTGGATTTCTGTCCCTCCATTTTAGCTTCTGTCCCTCTCCTTCTCTGCAGTTTGCACTCTATAAGAAAATGACTCAGGCAGCCATCCTCATTCAGAGCAAGTTCCGAAGCTACTACGAACAGAAGCGGTTTCAGCAGAGCCGCAGAGCGGCTGTACTTATCCAGCAGCACTACCGCTCCTACCGCCGCCGGCCAGGGCCTGCTCACCGGCCTTCAGGTCCCCTGCCGGCCCGAAACAAGTAGGGACCACCCCCTCCCGCGCCTCTGCAGCTCTCGGCTTACCTATCTGATAATGCCCACTCTTTGATCTCTTCCTGCCTGCCAGCCTTTCCCTCCAAAGTCTTAAGGTGGGAGACTGAGAATGCGTGAGTTCTATGAGGTCTCTCTCTCTCTTCCACCAGGGGCTCCTTTCTCACCAAGAAGCAGGACCAGGCAGCCCGGAAAATAATGAGGTTCCTGCGGCGCTGCCGACACAGGTTCTAATCCCTTACCTCCCTGGATCTCTGCCCTGCCACTTTTTTTAAATCCACCACTGTCCTCTGACTCCTCTCTGTCTCTCCGCAGGATGAGGGAACTAAAGCAGAACCAGGAGCTGGAAGGGCTGCCCCAGCCAGGACTGGCCACCTGACCTCTCCACCGCCTTTCTCCACACCCTGGGGGCCCCTGGCTGTCTTACCAAGGAGAAGGCTTTAGGGACTAGGGGAGCCCCCTGTCGGCAGCTTTTTCTCCTTCACCTTTTTGGGAGCCCTTCGTAGACCCCCCGCCCCTTCCCCATCCTTAGTCCTCCACTTCCCTCCCTTCTGGTCGTGCCCTCTTTTGGTCCCTGGCTCCAGAAGACCTATGCCCCACATATCTGCATCTTCAGCTGTGACCTACGGAGCCCTGCCTGCACCTTTTCCATAACCCCGCTCCTGCCTGCACCTGATTCGGACCTTCCTGACTTGCCTTATTTATTTGTTCGACGAGTCTATCTATGATGAATGTATCCGCCTCGGTCCCCACCGCTGCCTTCGCTGCGCGCGCCCTCGTGTTTCAGGGGTGACTGCCCCACCTTGACTCCGCATGTTTGCGTCTGTTTCCTCCTTTCCTGACCCTGTCTTCCCCATCACCCTGACTCTGGTCACCCACCTCGGGTTCCAAAGAGGAGGGGGTGTACATAGGATCGCGAGGCGGAGTCCCGCTCCCGTGGGGAGGGGTTTGTACATACTGTAACATACAGAGTATAGTGAAGAATCTATTTAAGGCGCTGCGCGGCCGGGCGTCTGGTTCCCTGGCGCGGCGGGGGCCCCCGGCTGGCTCCACGAGCACTTTCTACTTGTGCATGGGCTTGGTTTATACGAACTGCCATTAAACATCTCTGCACCAGTTAGCCTCCGAACTATGTCTGCTGGGGGCGGGGCGGGAAGATCGCCACGCAAGTCGGCCGGCCTGGGCTCGCAGCCTGAAGCGGGGCGGGGCAGCGCGGTTTTTCGCTTCCGACGTGTTTCCGGCCTTAAAGGCATTTCGCCCTTCCCTTTAAGACGCGCCGCCCCCTCTCAGTTATTCCCAAGATGGCGGACCTACTGGGCTCCATCCTGAGCTCCATGGAGAAGCCACCCAGTCTCGGTGACCAGGAGAGTCGGCGCAAGGCCCGAGGTGAGGATCCCAAATTCACAACCGCATATCTTCGCCCAATTCTTGGGACCACACTCTTCCCTCTTTGAACAATGCCACCTCCTGCCCTAAAAGACCCCTCACAGGCCACTTTTGAGACCCTCAGAGTCCCTAAAAGGCCTGCCGGCCTGCCCGCTGTTCTTTGCAAACAATGATTGGCTACCTTAGCCTGTCTCCTGCCTCCTGTCTCTTCTTCCCGTCCTGGCCTTCTGCAGTCCTTGTTTACGATTGGCCAACGGGCCCGCCTGTCTGCTGGTGGCGAGCTCTGATTAGTAGGATGCCTTTCTTCCGATTGGAGGATGTTGTATCCATAGCATCGGTCCCATGTACCTCCAGTTCTATTACGATTAGGTTTAGGGCACGCCCATCCAACAGTCTGTTCCCCTCTATTGGCTAGCTCAACTTACAGCTCTACCTCCCAAGTATTCTCCTTCTGACCTACCTCAACCTCAGCACCTCCCATTGGTTAGCTGGATCCTCCTTTCTTTATGCCCCTCCTCCTCGAGTTAACCCAGTCCCTCACACTTCTGTTCAGCAGCCGTTCCCTAACTATGCCATAAAATTCCTGTGCTTCCCGAGGGGTAGTGGTGTTGATTGGAGGGTTGAGAATGGATCGCAGGTTCCGGTTCGCCCGTGCCTCCCCCACTCCGCCCGCCCGTGCCGAGTAGCTAACCAGAAAGCTTGCTGGAGTTTGGCAGCCAGGGTAGGGCGCGGCCCGAAGAGGCCTACTCAGTGTTGGCTCACACTCTGGCGAATGAAGGACCCTAGAGGAAGGACAGACAGCCGTGGGTGCACCCAGCTCTCAAACACGTGGGCCCTGACCATGGACAAGTCTCATACCTGACACTTGCTTCCCCGTCTGCCCAAAGGAGGCAGGACAGGCAGGATGCCTTCAAAATGTTCGAGGATTGTTAAATATTCATCTGTAGTCCCTAATTTACAAAACTTGTGGAGCCAAAGATAACCCATCAAGGAGGTTACAGACAGTTTAATAACCGGTTAAGTGCTTTGAGAGAAACATATGTAAGAGAGATTAATTGGGATGGGGAGGGGGTCCCAAACATTTCTGAAGTGAGCTGAGTACCAAAGAAAAGGTAATTTAGTGAAGAGAATGAAGTCTGTTCGAAAGCTCCAGGAAAGCAGAGTTTGATAGGAACCGGGAGCTGGAATGACTTTGTTCAGATGAATGGCTCATCAGCTGGCAGAAGAGGGTCTTCAGCTCCTTGCCTGGGGTCTCAGGTCACTAAGTAGCTGAATTTGGAACCTAGTCGTGCCTTTTTAGTCCCATTTTTAGCCTATATTCTTGAGCATAATCTTAATCTATCTCCCAAGTTGCAGAAAAGCCTGGAAAATCAATTAGAAAACAATGAATGGTCAAGACAGTGAAGTCAGATCGGTGGGAGTCTCGGGTCTGTCAGGCCCTGGCCCTGCAGTGTAACTGGGCAGGAGGTGAACAGGGTCCCTGTCTTCCAGCAGCTTAGAGCCTGGAAGGAGGGGGTAGGGAACGGGACCAAAAAAAAAAAAAAAAAAAAAACCCGCAAGTCTTTTCCAGTGAATGTGCTTGGAGCCTACAGGAAGAAGTCTTGACTCATAGTGAGAAATCGGTGTTTGCAAGAGGAGGAAAAGCATTCCAACTAGAAGGGACAACATATGCAAAAGCGTGACGTGACTAGGGAGCAGGAAGAGGTTCAGTGCCGCTTCGGGGACCCCAGCCCTGTGGAAGAAGTGAACCTAGGGTTTTGAAGTAGCAAAAGAGGAACAGGAGGAAGAGGCATATGCCAAATTTCTAAGAGGCAGTAAACTCAGATCATAGAAGAAAACAGGCAGGATAAGGGAACAGGGTAAGGTAGTCTGGGCAAGGAATGTTGCTCAATCAGAGGTAGAACACTTGCTTAGCATGCGAAAGGCCCGAGCTTCAAGTCCCAATACCATATCCGGCAATCCTAAGCTAGTATGGTGGGTCTGTAAGTTTGGGGCCAGTCTGGACACCATAGTGAGTTTCAGGTCAGCCTGAGATGTAGAATAAGATCCAGTCTCAAAGTTCTGGGTAGGGAGAGAAGGCAGACAGGCAGGCAGGCACTGCTTTTATGGTTGGGGCTGTAGCTCAAGTGGCAGAGCTCATCTTTAGGTTCAAGACCCTGAGTTCAGTCTTCAACATTCCCCTTTAAAAAGTTGCATCTGCCCACTAAGGGAAGAGGGGTTGGTCTGGTACAAAAGGGGAAGAGCCTTCAGTAAGAGAAAAGAGTTCATTTAACCAACTTTGGACACCTAAACCCCTCAAGAAAGTGCGATGTCTTAGTTAGGGTGCCTGTTGCTGTGATAAAACACCATGACTGAGCCGGGTGTTGGTGGCACACCCCTTTAATCCCAGCACTCGGGAGGCAGAGGCAAAACAACATGACTGAAAGCACTTAGTGGGTATTCTAGCCCAAAGTTCCAAATTTCTTCTACAGTCCCTCAGTAATCCCCCTCCTCAAAATAGCCAGGTTTGTCTGAATAGTCCACTCTCTGGTACCAGTTTCTGTCTTTGTTAGGGTTTCTCTGTTTTTTTTTTTTTAACATTTTTTAATTATTTATTTATTATGCATACAGTTTTATTTTGTTTTTTTATCTGTGTACATGCTTGTACCCCAGGAGAAGGCATCAGACCTCATTATAGATGGTTGTGAGCCACCATGTGGTTGCTGGGAATTGAACTCAGGACTTCTGGAAGAACATGCAGTGCTTAACCTCTGAGCCATCTCTCCAGCCCCTTTGTTAGGGTTTCTTTTTTTTTTTTTTTTTTTTTTTTTTTTTGGTTTTTCGAGACAGGGTTTCTCTGTGGCTTTGGAGGCTGTCCTGGAACTCACTTTGTAGACCAGGCTGGCCTCGAACTCACAGAGATCCGCCTGCCTCTGCCTCCCGAGTGCTGGGATTAAAGGCATGCGCCACCAACGCCCGGCTTTGTTAGGGTTTCTATTGCCGTGCTAAAACACAACTTGACCAGAAGCAACTTGGGAAGGAAAAGGTTTGCTTCAGCTTACAATTCCACATCACAGCCCGTCATCGAAGGAAGTCAGGGCAGGAACTGAGGCCATGGAATGCTACTTCCTGGCTTGCCAACCTGCTTTCTTATATACCCTAAGACCACCTGCTCAGGGGTGGCACCACCCACAATGGACTGCCTCCCCCCACATCAGTCATTAATCAATACAGTCCCCCCAAACTTGCCTACAGGCCAGTCTTAATGGAGGCATCAATTACAGTTCCTTCCTCTCAGATAACTTTACCTCGTGTCAAGTTGACAAAAATCAAAGCAAAGTCAGGACAGGTGAGAAAGGCACCAGATGAGCCATTCCATTTCAGCACCATCCTGACCTTAGAAGTATGAAGGGGCCGGGGCTGGAGAGGTGGCTCAGAAGTTAAAAGCACTGCCTGCTCTTCCAGAGTTCTTGAGTTCAATTCCCAGAAACCACATGGTGGCTCACAACCACCTGTAGTGAGATCTGATGACCTCTCTGGCCTGCAGGTATACATGTAGGCCAAAAAGTGTATACAAAAATAAATAAATAAATAAATAAATCTTAAAAAAAAAGTATGGGGGCTGGAGAGATGGCTCAGAGGTTAAGAGCACTGACTGCTCTTCCAGAGGTCTTGAGTTCAATTCCCAGCAACCACATGGTGGCTCACAACCATCTACAATTCAATCTGGTGTATATGCAATAAATAAATAAATCTTTAAAAAAAAAGTATGGGGGGGCACTATAAAATATAGGAAGCTTGCTGGGCTGTGGTGGTGTGCACCTTTAAGGCAGAGGCAGACTGATCTCTGTGAGTTTAAAGCCAACCTGGCCTACATACAGAGTTCCAGGACAGCCAAGGCTACATAGAGAGAGATACATAATATATATGAAATTAAAAGCTGGTTGTGGGAGTGCACACTTTTAATCTCAGAACTCCAGAGGCAGAAGCAAGCAGATGCTTGCAATTTTGAGGCTAGCCTGGTCCACATGGTGAGTTCCAGGCCAGCCAGGGCTACATAGTGAAATGTTGTCTCCAAAATAATAATTACATAGAGAGATACAAAACTAAATAATTTCCCCTTGCCGGTAGACAATGAGTTGAAAAACTTGTCACTGAAGCTATTCTCACTTCCTTAGGTGCCTTACAGTCCCTTTTATACTCTGGGCATTAAGTAAATGCTAATTGACTGTCTTGTGGGGTTGGTAAGTGGGGTGTGTGTGATTCTAGTCTGTGTGGCTCCTACCACACTCAGCTCTGGAAAGAGGAAACTTTCAGCCATCTTGGTACTCTGGGGCTTAGCACAGTGTCAGGTTGTGTCACGCAGGAAGCATCAAAGAATACTTGGTGAATCAACACTAACCTCCTGTCCAAGCACAGCACTTCCGTGGTTAGCAGACACCCCTGGAGCCTGACCAACTCTACCTATGCTTCAGCCGTGTCCTCACGCTGCCCTTTCTCACCCTAGAGCAGGCTGCCCGCCTGAAGAAACTACAAGAACAAGACAAACAGCAAAAAGTGGAGTTCCGTAAAAGGGTGAGAGCAACTGGAGAGGTCAAAGGCAGCTTCTGGAAGGACTTGCAGTAAGAGCTGGAAGACTGAGGACTTGGTCATATTGACAGTGCCTCCAGAGAAGAGGAACTAAACGCCAGTGACATGGGGACTGGGGAAGCAGTGGGAGGTTTGAAAAGGCCATGGGCCCAGGAGATTCTTGGGTGGAGCTGTCATCTCATGCCCTCCTCTCTTGTTTCTCCTAAGATGGAGAAAGAGGTGTCTGATTTCATCCAGGACAGTGGACAGATCAAGAAAAAGTTTCAGCCTATGAACAAGATAGAGAGGAGCATACTGTGAGTGTCTCTCGGCTTGTGGAGGCAAGTGGGCAGTGAAGGGGCCACTGGGGACCAGGGCCCTCATGGCTCACCGCTCTCTTCTGCCTTCCTTCTCTAGACACGATGTGGTAGAAGTGGCAGGCCTCACATCCTTCTCCTTTGGAGAAGATGATGACTGTCGATATGTCATGATCTTCAAAAAGGTAAAGGCCTGCTCCTCCCTCTCCTCTCAGCCTGTCTCTGCTACCTGAGGGAGGGAGAGGAAGGAGATCACATATATATTTGACCTCTGATTCTACCTTTCCCTTCATCCCCAGGAGTTTGCACCCTCGGATGAAGAGCTGGACTCCTATCGTCACGGAGAAGAGTGGGACCCCCAGAAGGCTGAGGAGAAACGGAAGCTAAAGGTGAGCTGTGCCTTGCAGGTCCTGGAGCCTATAAACATCACCTGGAAGAGGCCAGCTGGGGTCAGGGACTTGAGCACAGGTGCCTCACCTCTATGCCCTTAGGAGCTGGCTCAGAAACAGGAAGAGGAGGCAGCCAAGCAGGGACCTGCGGTGGTGAGCCCTGCTAGCGACTACAAGGACAAGTATAGCCACCTTATTGGCAAAGGAGCAGCCAAAGATGCAGCCCACATGCTACAGGCCAACAAGACCTATGGCTGTGGTGAGCTGTGGTGGGAGCTGGGAGGCATGAGAAGAGCATGGCTGGGGGAGGGGAGCAGAGACTGAGGTCTTGTCCGCTCTCCCCTCTGCTGCCAGTGCCTGTGGCCAACAAGCGGGACACTCGCTCCATAGAAGAGGCCATGAATGAGATACGAGCCAAGAAACGTCTGCGGCAGAGTGGGGAAGAGTTGCCAACTACCTCCTAGGCATCACACCCAACTCCCTTTGACCTCCAGCAAAGCAGGGGCATGGAGGAACAAGGCTGCTGCTATCAGGACCCATCCTGGAGCCCCATCTCGAAACTATGAGGTCCTACCAGCTGTCATTCAAGCTGGAGGAGAAGCAGGTGTTTATCACTGCTGCAACTTGGATGTATGGTTGGTGCGAGTGTGTGTAAGAGTGCAAATGTATGGGTGGGTATTTAATCTGTATTATTCTCTATTATCCTTGGAACTTTCTTCCCCATGGGGCTGGGGTTACTTTACATTGAATAAATACTGTTTTGACCAGGTGTTCTGATTTGTACATAGAAATGTGAATACTAAGTCCATAGGCAGAGAAGCCAATTATTCCCACTATTACTGTGACGTTCACGTTTTTTTTTTTTATTTTGTGGTGCTAGAGATTAAACTCAGGGTCTCATGAATATTGGGCAAGCACTCTTGTCACTAAGCTGGGGTGGAGTTCTTTTGAATTTATGTGTATGAATGTTTTACCTGCATGTAAGGATGTATACCATGTGCATGCCTGGTGTCTGTGGGGGTCAGGAGGGCATTGGAACCCTAGAACTGGAGTTACTGATAGTTGTGAGCCACTAGGTCAGCTTGGAATTGAACCCTGGTGCTTGTAAGAGCAACAAGTGCCCTTGGCCACTGAGCTGCCATCTTTCTAGCCCCCTAAGCTTGGAATTTTGGGACAGGGTCTTACTACATTGCTCAAGCTGCTTTGAAATTTGTTATCCCATCTCTGTCTCCCAAGGCCTGAGGTTACAGATGTGAACCACCACACCCAGCTAAGATACAGTATTTTAATGCTGAAGCCAAGTAGCCTGGCTTTGTGTCCTAGCTCTACCAGTTGCTAACTCTGCTGTGTTGAATACAGTATATTTAATTCTTTCTATCTTGGTTTTCTTGTGTGTAAAAATGGGACAAGAATGGTAAGTGTCTGATAGGACTGTTTCAAAGCTTATGAACACTTGCAGACTCTCACAAGCTCCATTACCAGTTATCCTCACGAAGCACTCAGTCTGGCTGCATCTTGTTCCAAATCCCTCATGCTGGGAGCATCAGGACCCTGAGTCCCTCTCTGTTCATTGCTGCCCACTCAGTAGCTGTTTCCTCATTCCACAAACACCTCTCCAGTTCCTTTTCACATAGAGAATTTGCTTTTTCTAGCTTCATTCCAAAATGTGAATTTCTCTGTTTTATATCACTTCCTTGTCACAGCAGGTTACATGTCACTCTTTGCCTCTTCCTCCTTCCACCTGTCCACTTCCTGTCCTTCCTGGCTACCTAATCATCCTGTCTCTCCTTCCTTCCAAGGAGCACAACATGATCTCGTTTGGCAGTGTTTATTTCAGGGAGAAGGGCTTGAAGGCCTGTATTTGTTCTTTGGAATCCTGGAGCCTTCAGCTTCTCATTTGGCCTTTGGATTACGGAACTTCCGTCCAGCAAAGACAGCTTTGTCTCCAAGAGCCTCCTCAATCCTATAATAAAAAAATCAGAACTGCTATCTTGTAACCAGGAGTGCCTTCCTCTCCCACTGCCAGGCCTCTGTACCCACTATACCTCATGAGCTGGTTGTATTTGGCCAGACGCTCTGAACGGCACGGGGCACCAGTCTTGATCTGAGGTGGGAAAGGGATTTGAAGGGGTTGGGTTGGGCCCAAATGAGCAGACTCTAGTGGTTGGATACTCAGTAAAGGGAAGGCCTGAGTACCTGTCCTGTGCAGAGTCCCACCACGAGGTCAGCAATGAAAGTATCTTCAGTCTCCCCAGAGCGGTGGCTCACCATCACCCCCCAGCCATTAGATTGTGCCAGTTTGCAGCTGTGTGGGAAGAACATTTGATGAGGCCTTGGGTGACCTCAGTAAGAGAACTAGGGGCAAGGCAGGATTCTCCCTTTGTTTTGGGCAGTGGGCACCACAGGAAATGCAGCGCCTGAGTTCTCTGGGAAGCGGGGGGGGGGGATTTCTGCTCTTGGATTAGGGTGGTCAGAAGATGGTAAGAGTGCAGTATGGGAGGGAGGTAAAGGGACATGGCAGAGCACAATGGCAAAGGTCTTGGGGACAAGCCAAGGGTTAGTCATAGCCTTGGGGTTAGGAGTGCTATAGACTTGGGTGGATCAGGTTCCCAAAGAAGGACAGACTTAGGGCAAGAACAGCAGCAGTGGGTTGAGCCGGAGCCGAGCGTGGCCACTCTGAGCCTGAGTTGGGAGACACTCACGCCTGGATGGATTCTGTCACTGAGCCAATCTGATTGACCTTCAGTAACAGGCAATTGCAGGCCTTTTTCTCAACAGCCTGAGCAATCCTCTTGGGGTTGGTGACTGTAAGGTCATCTCCCACAATTTGGATGTCTACTCCGGAGAGGAATGAGGTCCACGTGGCCCAGTCATCCTGGTCAAAGGGGTCTTCAATGGAGACCACTGGTAGGGGTGTGGGAACACAGTTGGGGTTAGAGATAGGGCCGGATGGAGGGATGACAAGAAGTAGAGGTTAAATGGAGGCTGTGATGGAGCTGAGGATGGAAAGGACGGGAATTGTGACGAAGTCAAACATGGAAACCAGTGTCAGGCAACTGCAGAAGACTAAGGGAGGTGGGGAGCACATGAAGTCTCACCAGGATAGTTCTTGATGAAGTTCTTGTACAGCTCCCCAAGCTTCTCCCCACTGATGTGCCTTGCAGGGTCGTCAGGTGACTTGAAGTCCAGATCATACTTCCCATTGCGATAGAATTCAGATGCTGCCACATCCATGCCAATCACCACCTTGTCTGGGTAGCCAGCTGCCTGAATGGCTGTCTTTAGCAGCTCCAGGGCTAGGAGAAGAGCAAGAAATGACCTGAGATGCCAGTGTCCTTCCCACCTCACGGGAACCCAGGTGGTCGATGCCCCCGGATGCTCACACTAACCCTCATTGTTCTCCAGGATGTTGGGCGCAAAGCCACCCTCGTCCCCCACATTGGTGGCATCCTTCCCATACTTGGCCTTGATGACCCCCTTGAGGTGGTGGTAGACCTCAGCGCCAATGCGCATGGCCTCCTTGAACGAGCTGGCTCCCACTGGCAGAATCATGAACTCCTGCATGGCCAGCTTGTTTCCAGCATGAGAGCCCCCGTTGATCACGTTGAAGGCCTGAGACAGGAGGACACAGTGCTCAGAACTGGGTGGCATGCGGGGTCAAAGGTGAGAGGGAACTGGAGGTAGAAGCTGGACTCTGCTCACTAGCTGAGTGGTTTAGGACGTGGAATGGTATGCCTTTCCCTCATTTCTACAAAATGGTTATAATGCCTACTTCCTGTAAACTCTTCTGAAAATTAGGAGAAATAAAACATAAAATTCTTAACATGTGCCTGATGTGGAATGAAATAATTTTAGGGCATTCTAAATAAACTAGCTTGGTTTACTCTCAAACACCTCTATTAACTATACATTCATTAATTTCTTTTTTTATGGATGACAGAGATGAGTAAGGCATAGAGGTTTCTTTTTTTTTTTTTCTTTTTTTTTTTTTTTCAAGAGAGGGTTTCTCTGTATTGCTTTGGAGGCTGTCCTGGAACTCGCTCTTGTAGACCAGGCTGGCCTCGAACTCACAGAGATCTGCCTGCCTCTGCCTCCCCAGTGCTAGGATTAAAGGCGTGCGCCACCAACACCTGGCTGGCATAGAGGTTTCTAAGATCACACAACTAGAAAACAGGCAAGGCCAGGGTCTGAACCCAGCAGAGGTCTCTAGAGTCCATGCTCTTTCTTTGGGGGGTAGATGTTTCAAGACAGGGTTTCTCTGTGTAGCTCTGGCTGCCCTACAACCCAATTTATAGACCATACTGGCTTCGATCTCACAGAGATCCACTTGTCTCTGCACCTCGAGTGCTGAAACTATAGGCATGCACTACCACCACCCATGTTCTGAACACAATCTTCCTTAGTAAGTAACACTAAATGGTGATATTATAATTGAGATTAAGTTCTGCCCAGTCCATGCAGGGCTCCAAGGCTGGAAGTGACAGATGCAGTAAGGGGATGAACAAGAGACAGAATAGACACACAGACAGAAAATCTGGAGAGTGAACAGACTGAGCTCTCTGATGGAAAAACCTCAGCACTCTAGAAGCTCAAAGTGTTTATTATACAGAGCTCAGCATATTTGTCACAGAGTTGAACAAAGAAGCAGGGTTACTGCACACATATAAACAAGGAGGTGGGGTTCATGGTATACAGCTGGACCAAGGGGACAGGGTTAGGGGATCTCAGCAAGAGCACTCTCTGTAGGGCAGCAGTCTTCAGGCCATAAACATCCAAGGGGGAGGGAGCTGTGGTGGACATATTATGTACACGCTATCAACACAGGCACCTGGTCACCAAGGAAGGCTTTACCATGCCTCTGAACCTTAGCCCACGGGGCAAGCTTTGCTGTCCCTCCATGGTCTGAGGCTCTGGGGTCTTTGACAAGGCTGGTCCATGTCAACACACACATTCACCCAGGACTTTCTACACTCAGGGCTTTCTCTGCACCTTACAAAATTCAAAGTTACTACTAAGAGGGCATTGACTTCATACAGAGTTGGAGGATGCACAGAGATACTGAGGTCCTTGCCCTGACGACACTTTCAAAACTGATTGGAGGAGTGGGGTACAAAGACAGAATGAGGCCTGAGCAACCAGTCTGAGCCTGGAATGTGGAGGAACTAAGGGACCTAGGAAGGGGAGGAAACCTCAAAAGGCTTAGCTTTAGGTTGTGGGAAAGAGATCTCATTTCAATGCTTCTTTGCAGCCAGATGTTAAAGGTAGACTTCCTAGGGGGTGCTACTCAAACATTCCTGGCTGGGGAGGGGCAGGCGCCACAGGGATTCAGAAGGGACAACCATACTCACAGGCACAGGAAGTACAAGATCAGGATTCCCCGCAAGATCTGCGATGTGTCGGTAGAGCGGGACCCCTTTCTCAGCTGCTCCTGCCTTACAAACAGCCAAGGACACACCCAGGATAGCATTGGCCCCAAACTTGGCTGGAGGGAGGCAAACAGGGAGAAAGGATGAGAGTTCTTCCAGGTTTTTCAGTTAATTCCTTGAAAATTTTGGTCACCCCAGGAAGAAGCTTCCTAAGCCACTGGACATTAAGATTACATTAACTC